TGTTTATTTATTTTTGAGAGAGACACAGAGTGGGATCAGGGGAGGGGCAGAGAGAGAGGGAGACACAGAATACGAAGCAGGCTCCAGGCTCCGAGCTGTCAGCACAGAGCCCGACGTGGGGCTCAAACCACGAACTGCGAGATCATGACCTGAGCCAAAGTCAGACGCTTAGCCGACTGAGCCACCCAGGCGCCTCACATCTAAACTTTCTGTCTAGCCTAAATCATTGTGGAATGCAGTTAAAGCATTAAAGAGTTATGAAAGGCTTAAACGTATATTAGAAAAGAAGAAAGGGCACAGACTTAACTTTCAGAGTTCAAAAACAACTGAGTAACTCACCTTCAAAGTAGATCAAAGAAAATAACAAAACACAAAATCAATGAAATAGAAAATAAAAGAGTTAATAACAAGATCACCAAAGCCAAATGTTGGCTCTTTGAAAAAAACAAAAAGATAAAAAAAACAAAACCATGTAGGGGCACCTGGGTGGCTCAGTTGGTTGAGTGCCCTACTTCAGCTTGGGTCATCTCACAGTTCATGAGTTCAAGCCCTGCATAGGGCCCTATGCTGATAGATCAGAGCCTGGATCCTGCTTCGGATTTTGTGTCTCCCTCTCTCTCTGCCCCTCCCCTGCTCATGCTCTGTCTGTCTCTCTCTCACAAATAAATAAAGTTTTTTATTTATTACATATAAAAAACTTTTTTAAGAAAAAATAAACATGTAAAATTCATAAAACTCAAGCAAGATTAATTAGAATGGAGAAAAAAGGCAGCAAAGATTGGCAGTATAAAGTATTAGGAACAAATTTATGTCAATCGTTTTGAAAATTAAAACAGAAAACTTCCTGGGAAATATAAATTTCTACTACTGAGTCAAAGAAAGAGAGAATATAAATCATCTTATAATCATTAATAAAAACTGAGTAAGTATTTAAGAATATTTTCCCATAAGAGGGGGGAGAAAAGGCTCAGTTTTACCAACAAATTATATACAATTTTTAAGGTTCAAACATTTTTTTTTTCCAAGATTTTAATTTTAAGTAATCTCCACACCCAACGTGGGGCTCAAACCCACAACCCCAACACCAAAAGTCACGTGCTCCACCAGCCAGGTGCTCCAAGGTTCAAACATTTATTTTTATCTTTTTTTGAAACATTTATTTATTACTGAGAGACAGAGAGAGAGCATGAGCATGGGAGGGGCAGAGAGAGGGGGAGACACAGAATCCGAAGCAGGCTCCAGGCTCCGAGCTGTCAGCACAGAGCCCGACACGGGGCTCGAACTCACAAACCGCAAGATCATGACCTGAGCCGAAGTCAGACGCTTAACTGACTGAGCCAGCTCCAAACATTTCTAATCTAACCAAACTCTTCTAGAGACTATAAAAGGTGGACTGTGCCTTAGCTCATTAAATGAGGCCAATACCAAAAGCAGAGATAATTAAAAAAATAAAACTACAAGCTAATCTCACTCATGAATACAAATGCAAAAATCCTAACTAAATAAAATACATGATATGATGCAATGTGATGTGAAGGGGATTTCACTTCTGTGGTACTCTTCCCAAAGCCTATAACCCCAGGCTATTTATGAGAAAGCATCACACAAACCCAAATTGAGAGACCTTCTACAAAATACCTCATCAGTACTCTTCAAAAGTGTCAAGGTCATGAAAAACAAGGAAAGACTGAAAAGCTGTCACAGATCAGAGACTAAGGACACATGATGATTAAATGTAATGTGGGATCCTAGATTGGATCCTGGAACAGAAAAAAGGCAAACAATTAGTGGAAAAACTGTTGCAATCCAAATGACAGGTCTTTAGTTAATGTAAATTTTTAGTTTGGAGGAATGTACCACAGATAGGTTAAGATGCCAATATCAGGGGAAGCTGGGTAGATGGGTCCTGTCTGTACTTTCTTTTCTATAAATCTAAAATCATTCCAAAATTTAAAAAGTGTGTGTGTATCACCACCTTTAAAGTAGTCTTGCAAGAAACAAATCTGATCCTGATCAAACCTCTGGATACGAATCCCAGTTTATAGAAATACAGAGGATGAAATAAACTACACCGTGAGAATGCAATAAGCTAAACTCAGAATGTGTTCAACCCTGTAAGACAAATGATTCCATTTCTTCAACAAATAAATGACATGGAAAACTAAAAAGATGGGGTGCCTGGGAGGCACAATTGGTTGTGTCTAATTCTCAATTTCGGCTCAGGTGTTGATCCCAGGGTCCCGAGTCAGGCTCCACGCTTAGCATGGATACTGCTTAAGATTCTCTCTCCCTTCACCCCTCTTCCCCATTCACTTGCTCTCCCTCTCTCCAAAATAATAGGGGGGAGAAAAAAGAAAACTAAATAGAGAAAGTGCACAGTCACAGATCAAGATACTTGAGAGATGTTATCAACCAAATTGATAAACCAATACAAAAAGATACTTTTGAGACAACCAGGCAAATCTCAACACGACTGTTAATAAAGTTATTATTACTTTTATTGGGTATTATAATGTTATTGTGGTTATTAAAGACTTTATCTGCTAAAAGATATATTGATGTATTTATGAATAAAATGATAATGGTATTGTGGCTACATTTATTAGAGTTCTTATCTATTAAAAGTTACATTGAGGCATTTATGAACAAAATTAAATGAGCTGTGCTTAAAGATATTTAGAAGGGAAAGGTAAAGCTAGTTGTCTGTTATCCTATTCTCTCTACATTTATGTATGTTTGAGATTTTCTAATAAAAACGTAGGAACAAAAAAGTGTCTCACTTCTACAAACCTGGCTGGTGCCAGGGTAATCCATAGTTTGAACAGCACTTAGATTCAAAGGCTATACAATTTTTTTTTTTTTAATGTTTAATTTTGATAGAGAGTGAGCGGGGTAGAGGCAGAGAGAGAGAGACAGAATCTGAAGCAGGCTCCAGGCTCTGAGCTGTCAGCAGAGCCTGATGCGGGGCTTGAACTCATGAACCGTGAGATCATGACCTGAGCTGAAGTCAGAGGCTTAACCGAGCCACCCAGGCGCCCCTAAAGACAATACAATTCTTACACGCGAATTCTTACATGGCTTTCATTTATCTACTTCCTTAGTTTGGATATAACATACAGGCAGCACAAAGGGGTGTCATTATGACTTCTGGGAAGCAGGACCCATACTCACTTGGCAGAAACTGGGTCTGTGGTTAAAACCCATCCTTTATAATCCTTCTCACTGGCTGTCACTTTGACTTCTTTGTACGTGTAATCTTGCCATTCTAAGGGGCCTTTCTTCATCCATTCATTCATGGCTGCCAGCTGACTAGATCAAAAACCACCACCAGTCCGGGTTAATATAGATGTTCCACTCAAGCAAATGCCCCAATCCCTATGCTAGGCAGAGAGAACATCTTGTGATTTGCCTCAGGTTCCGTATCAGGAAATAGGTGATATTCACGATTCAATATGAAAGCTAGGAGATCCCGAGTTGCCATGGGGCTAACTCATCCGGCTTACTTCTATATTCGACCACCCAGTACCACTCCAGATGGCCTTCGCCCTGGCCTTGAACTCCGGTCGGCAGATGCTCAAACCCTTTAACTCTGTCTGCTCTCCACACCACTTTTAGCCAAACCTGAAAAACAAAACTCCTTTGATATCCACCCACTCGCTCTCTCTGGCTGTTTCTCCGCTGGATCCCGCCAGGGAGAGGCCTCGGATTTGCGACCATTTCCTCTTTTTTGTTTGGAAGATGCACGAACCGGGGGGCAGCAGCGAAGGCTCTGGAGCGCAGACTCCCTGACCTAGCTTGCAGCTGCACGATACTTAGAGCAGCACTCAAACCTGGTGGTGTTTAACGTTTAATCCCGACAAACGAGAAATATACCAGTTACAGCTCCTCACAGGGAAAGGCACGCAGCAACCACGCGGTAAGGAAGGAGTCTCCCCGGCGGCGCCGTCCAAACCCAGCATGCTTTGCGCCACTTCCTTCCCCCAGAAGTCTCTGTTTTGTAGTCCTTGACCTTGGTCGCACCTAGAGGTCTGAGGGAGTCGGCTGGCGTGGGGGGATAAAAGCCGGGCGCGGGATGCGGGCGGGACTTGAGATTTTTGTATAATAAGGCTCCTTGTTCTCTAGAGCCACCCCTCTTCACTGCCACGATGGACATTTCAACCTTTTGTTTTTAAAGAGGAAAAGTCTCGTGCCCGGTCCTCATTGAGAGTAGACATGGAAATGCACCCTTGCCGTGGAATCGAAGCACAAGAACCCTCTAGGTAAATCCTAAAGCTTTAGAAGTGTGAGGTGAAAGTGCCTTGGAGAAGAGCGATAGAGCCAAGAGACTTGTTTGTTCCGCTGGTGTGAGGCAGTTAATACCTCTGCTCCTTCGGGATGTGCCCTTGCTATAGTCCCGCAGGAGTTGCAGAAGCCAGAAAGAATAAAGCACAGGATCGGGATGAATTCCACCTAGCAGATCTCTCAGTGGGAAAGCCCCAGCCTCTCCTCCAACCCCCGCCCCCCTCCCCAGTAGAAAAGCGGAAAAGACTCGCTTCTGCCGCAGATTTATGTTCAGGTACTTAGGTGGCTCCTGGCATAGTCCGGAATTTTTTTCTTAACTGTGATCCTGAAAAATGGTACAAGGCGTTAAACATTGAGTTTCTGCAAATGGGAACACCAAGGGAGATTTACAGAAACTGAATTAGAGGCCTATCAAACCACGATGTAGAAAACATTGAAAATCAGCTTGGGGCATCTGGGTGGCACAGTCTATTAAGCCTCGGATTTAGGCTCAGCTCATGACCTCCCTGCTAGTGATCTCCTGGCTCCTGAGTTGGAGCCCCACACTGGGCTCTCTGATGTCTGCACGGAGGCTGCCTCACATCCTCTTTCCTCAGCTCTCTCTGCCCCTCCCCTGCTCCCGCTCTCTCTCAAAAAATAAATAAACTTAAAAAAAAAAAAAAAAAACAAAAGAATTAGTCAGCTTTTCCCTTACAGTCTGGGATTTGAGTTCACATAATCCTTAAAGTATATTGTTTCTTATTGCCATCGTTTCAAATAATCCTTTGGCAACTTTGAGTCGTTGAATGATTGGCTGATTATATTAATGTGGCTTTAGTAGATTAAATTAGATTATGCCAGTTAAAGTCCTCTATAAATCTACAAAGAGCTAATATAAATACCAGTTGTTACAATGTGAAATGAAACGTTTGACCTCATAAAAATTCAGTCCAAAAGAGCTTGAACCAACTGTGACAACTGATCATTTGTATTTGAAGCCTTCTAACTGTCCCGCAGAATGAAAGACTTTGGAAGCTAGCTTCAAGCTTAAATTACTCCCTTTAAATTGATGTGACTGGGGCAGTTTCCTTCCCTTCTCTCCCCTCTCCCTTTAGCCTTCTGGATAAACTAAAGAATCGTTCACAGCATCTGCCTATTGGAATCGCTGATTTATAACAGACTGAGCCTGCCCACTTCTAATGGAGGTTTACAGAGAGACCCTGTCTGTAGTCCACCCTCAACAAGTTCACATGTGCCATTTCCTTTTCCCCATCAACGCCTACTCTTGGTCTCCCTGGTGCCTCCCTCCTACCAGTTGATGTCCCTTCTCTCACATTCTCTGCTTTTCTCCCTCTTCCCCTTCTCTTCTTCTGTCTTCTTCCTAGTATCTGCTTCCCCCTCAAACCTACACACATACACACACTCTCAACCCTTTCCTCTGCCAAGTTCAAAATTGCGTGTTCTAGACTTTGGAGTACATTCTGTTTAATTTTAACAAGAAATATTTTTTAAGCAATCTCTAAACCCAACGTGGGGTTCAAACTCATGACCCCAAGATGAAGAGTTGCATGCTCTGGGGTGCCTGGGTGGCTCAGTTGGTTAAGCATTCAACTCTTGATTGACCTGAGCTAAAGATGTTGACTACTGAGCTCCTAAAAATTATTGCAGTGGTCCAGACAGGACACAAGCTGATAGCAGTGGAAATGAAAAAGAGGGGAAAAAGGAGTAGATTCAACGAATGCTTCAAGGGAAAAATCAACTGGATTGGTGATTGATTGGAGTGGGGCAAGGGCATGTTGAGAACTTTGATCTGTTAACAGATCTTCTCTCTGTTCTTTCCTTCATTCAATAATAACCCCTCCTTCCTCTTTGTTTTTTCAAGATCTCAGGCCTCCACATAGTTATTATATTTACTAAACTAGATAAGAAATTTCTTCACAGAATAAAAAATGCTTCAATAACACTTTATTTGTTTTTATGGCACAGGAAGGCAACAGTGAGGTCTCTCCTCCAAGCTCTTATAAACTAACCCTAAATGTTAAATAGAATGGATGTGATTCGATCTGTGGTTCGTTTGTACAAAGAGACCATCTATTATCTGGATAACCAGAGAATGTGGGGATGACCGAAATTCCAAACTGAGTGACCTGGTTGTATTCTCTGGAAGCCGGACTGGAATGGGATTTTATGTCAGTAAATGGAAACTTAATTATATTAGACCCTACCGGGACAGTCAATACCCCAGGGTTGGTAGCAGAAGGCACAAAAGAAGAAAGGTCAGTAAGTAGAAGATTGGGAGGTATTTCTCAAAGACCCTGAATCTGCAAGCGGGGACTTTCCAGAGGAATATACCTATTGTGGGGAACCGATATACTTCATCAGGTCTCAGCTTGGCCCGGAATAGATTTTCCTAAAACTATCTGCCTTCTTGTTCTGATTTGATGTTCCCCATGCCTCGTGACTCCCCCATGCTGGTTTTCTAGACACAGTGTTGATCAGGAGAGGTGATTCTTGAGAGGGAAACGAGCACTTTCTAATCAATAGAAAGGAATAGACCAGAAATCACAAACTAGGGGGCATATCGGGACATGCAGATAGTTTAATATCTGCACAGTTCAAATTAAAAAAAAATTTTTTTTTAAATTTGGAAGTTTTTATATAGTTTTCCTCTCTCTTCCTCACTAGTTTCTACTAGTTCTACCACTTTTATTGCTTTTGTTTGGCTGCTCTATATTGTTTACATCAGCTGCCTGATCCCACAGGAAATTGAATTTGCAACTCTGGAATAGTCCCTACTATAAATAAATAAATTAGCAGAGTAAATTATGCCTTAATCTCTTGTGGTAAGAACCAGCCTTGGATGTGTCTAGTCAACTCTTGGGCCACTTAAGCACCAGAAAGCTGGGCTGTGAGTAGCAACTTTACCAAGGAAATGCCAATTCCAAGATTTCCTGTTGGATTTCCATACAGTCTTTTTTAGGTGATTCCTTGGTCTTGTTGCCTTGCCTCCTTCTCATCTGTGCCCTTTTCATACCATTTTTGTAGCTTGTTGTTATTTACACATGTGTTGTGGCAGTTACTGTAGGTTGGTTCATTTAATAGTCCTTTCCCACAACCTCCTAATGAGGCTTGAAAGCCGAAACTCAGGGTCACTGGGTGGCTCAGTCGGTTAAGTGCCCGACTTCGGCTCAGGTGCTGATCTCATGGTTCGTGGGTTCGAGCTCCGCATTGGGCTCTGTGCTGAAACCTCAGAGCCTGGAGGCTGCTTCGGATTCTGTGTCTCCCTCTCTCTCTGTGCCCCTCCCCAGCTCATGCTCTGTCTCTCTGTCTCTCTCTCTCTCTCAAAAATGAATAAAAACATTTTAGAAAATTAAACAAAAAAAGAAGAAGAAAGCTAAAACTCAATCTGCAGCTTCCCTTGCAGATAGATGGCTATGTGAATACTTCTGGCCAGTGAGATATACATGGAAATCCCCCAGAAGGCTGTCCCTTCTGAAATAAAAAGGCAAAGCCTCCTAAGGAGAAAGCCTTGGGCAATCATAAAGAATGAAATCTTGGGGCGCCTGGGTGGCGCAGTCGGTTAAGCGTCCGACTTCAGCCAGGTCACGATCTCGCGGTCCGTGAGTTCGAGCCCCGCGTCGGGCTCTGGGCTGATGGCTCAGAGCCTGGAGCCTGTTTCCGATTCGGTGTCTCCCTCTCTCTCTGCCCCTCCCCCGTTCATGCTCTGTCTCTCTCTGTCCCAAAGATAAATAAACGTTGAAAAAAAAAATTAAAAAAAAAAAAAGAATGAAATCTTGCCCTTTGCAACAACATGGATGGAACTAGAGTGTATTATGCTAAGTGAAATTCGTCAAGGAAAGACAAATATGATTTCACTCATATGTGAAATTTAAGATACAAAACAGATGAACATAAGGGAAGGGAAGCAAAAATAATATAAAAACAGGGAGGGGGACAAAACATAAGAGACTCTTAAATATAGAGAACAAACTGAGGGTTGCTGGTGCGGTTGTGGGTGGGGGGATGGGCTAAATGGGCAAGGGGCATTAAGGAGGACACTTGTTGGGATGAGCACTGGGTGTTATACATAGGGGCTGAATCACTGGAATCTACTCTTGAAACCATTATTGCACTATATTCTAACTAACTTGGATGTAAATTAAAAGAATAAATATATTTTTTAAAAACAATGGTGGGCCACAGCTGACAGAGAACACTTCTCTGTCACTGTAATTTGTGTGAGCCCTACATTATACATAGAAAACAATTCTGATACTGAGACTCAAAGCTTTATTAGAAAATAAAGATCTTCAGGGGCACCGGGGTGGCTTAGTTGGTCAAACATCCGACTTCAGCTCAGGTCATGATCTCATGGTTCATGGGTTCGAGCCCCCATCAGGCTCTGTGCTGACAGCTCGGAGCCTGGAGCCTGCTTTGAATTCTGTGTCTCCCTCTCTCTCTGCCCCTCCCCCGCTTGTGCTCTGTGTGTCTCTCTCTCAAAAATCAACATTAAAAATAATAGTAATAAAGATCTTCAGCAACATGGGTATTTCTCTGGGAAAAGAAATAAATAATTTATTTAAATGTGTTTTAGGGGCACCTGGGTGGCTCAGTCAGTTGAGCATCCGACTCTTAATCACGGCTCAGGTCATGATCTCAGGGTTCATGGGTTCAAGCCCTGCATCAGGCTCTGCGCTGACGTCATGGAGCCTGTTTAGGATTCTGTGTCTGCCTTTCTCTGCCCCTCCCCGCTCTCTTTCTCACTCTCTCTCTCTCAAAATAAATAAATAAAATTAAAAAAAAAAAAGAGGAGGAGAAAGCTTTGGGATGCCTGGGTGTGTCAGTCAGTTAAACGTCCAACTTCAGCTCATATCATGATCTCACGGTTTGTGAGTTTGAGCCCCACATCAGGCTCTGTGTGGACAGCTCAGAGCCTGGAGCCTGCTTTGGATTCTGTGTCTCCCTCTCTCTCTGACCCTCACCCATTCTCACTCTGTCTCTCTCTCTGTCTCTCTCAAAAATAAACAGGGGTGCCTGGGTGGCGCAGTCGGTTAAGCGTCCGACTTCAGCCAGGTCACGATCTCGCGGTCCGTGAGTTCGAGCCCCGCGTCGGGCTCTGGGCTGATGTCTCAGAGCCTGGAGCCTGTTTCCGATTCTGTGTCTCCCTCTCTCTCTGCCCCTCCCCCATTCATGCTCTGTCTCTCTCTGTTCCAAAAATAAATAAACGTTGAACAAAAAAAATTTAAAAAAATAATAAAAAATAAAAAAATAAACATTAAAAAAAATAGTAGACTTTCAATATATATTTATTTAACCAATTAATAAATTTGCTATTCCTTGGCAGAAGTTGGGACAAATCACAAGACCATTATTTAGGTGGAGAGTTACTTATTTCATAAGTGACCAAGAACAGAAAAAGCAAATTAACAGGTCAAATTTTAGATTGGCAAAGCAGATAACAAAGGGACCTTTGCTGTTTCTAAGAAAGTAACTTAAATCCTCTGCACTGAGGAACAGTGTATTATTCCTACTACTGGTAGTAGTAGTAATAATAAATGTGTATTAACTCAATCTTAATGAACACAGAAAAAACATGAAATAGGAACTATTATCCCTGCAAAGGACACTGAGGCACAGAGGCCCAAGACCATGTGGCTAGCTAGTGACAGAGCAAGGACACAAATCCAGGCAATCAGATCAAAGCCTGCCCTCTTAACCACTATACCATACTAACTAAACAATGGGGGATAATTTAAGCACAGTTGTACATCTAAATTTTTTTTTAATTTTTTTTTTACATTTATTTATTTTTGAGAGACAGAGAGAGACAGCACGAGCAGGGGAGGGGCAGAGAGAGAGGGAGACACAGAATCCGAAGCAGGCTCCAAGCTCTGAGCTGTCAGCACAGAGCCCGACGCCGGGCTCAAACCCAGGGACCACGAGATCATGACCTGAGCTAAAGTCGAATGCTTAACCGACTGAGCCAACCAGGCACCCCAGCACAGTTGTACGTGTAAAAGTCTATTTTTAGTTAATGAGAAATGTGCTTTTCAAAGTCAGCTTTTTAAATCTAAGTACTAGCTCCTCATTGTGTTCCAGTTGATTGCTTGGGACACCCAAAGCATTAAAATAATGTGTTTCACTCATGTGTTTTAGCAAACCAGACTTTCCCAGCAAGGTCTGTTTCCAAGGGTGATTTTCCAAGGGAGGACACACACTGTCAGATTTAATGGTCTGGAAATTGAATGGTCTATCCCCAAGGCAGGTAAAGCAATACTGAGCCCCATGCCTACAGCTGCTATATACTCTCAGATTAGCCCACTGACAACAGCAACAGGATAGACACACACGTTTAATTAAGCTGTAGCTCCTTATACCTTAGGGAGGGTAACTAAGGGAGGGCAGGGCAGTAACTCAAATCTCCCTCCATAGGACTAGCCTTTTCTTTTTTCCTACCCAGTGTTATCTATCTTCCCTCCCCTCCTCCTCCAGGTATCTTCAAAGAGTTGGCGGGGGGGGGGGGGGGGGGGGGGGGGGGGGGGGGGGGGGGGGGGGCTTTGTCTTCTCTACTCTATGGCAAATTATAGACCCATTTTTGAGCTTCCTAGGGAAAAAGGTAAAACAGACTACTGATCACACAGAGGAAAATATCTTCTCTGCTATAAAAAGCCACTAAAAATTACGGTGTAAGCTCGGTCAGTTAAGCATCTGACTCTTGATTTCAGCTCAGGTCGTGATCTCCCGGTTCACGGCATTGAGCCCCGACTCAGGCTCCGCATTGACAGCACAGAGTCTGTTTGGGATTCTCACTCTCTCTCTCTCTCTGCCCCCTCCTTGCTCATGCCTGCACTCTCTCAAAATAAATACACATTAAAAAAAATTACTGTGTAAGAGGGAAAACCAGTCAGAGTCTGTGCTGTTCAGTGCATCATTGTTTTGAAATGTCAGTAAAGACCTTAAATGTTTTTTTCTTTCTTTTGAGTGTAAAAACATGTATAAGGCACTGGGATTCCCAGTGTAGCTACTTTTCATATTTTATTTGCAAGTTGTATGCATTATCTAGTGAGAGGTTAAAAAATGCTTTTTGAGTTTTTGAAAATGTTATCTAATGTAATTGAGAAATTCATAACATATAAGAGAGGGGGTTTACTTTTTTTTTTTTTAATTTTTAACTTTTATTATTGAGAGACAGAGCATGAGCAGGGTAGGGGCAGAGAGAGGGGGAGACACAGAATCCAAAGCGGGCTCCAGGCTCTGAGCTGTCAGCACAGAGCCTGATGTGGGGCTCAAACTCACAAACCATGAGATCATGACCTGAGCTGAAGTCGGACACTTAACCAACTGAGCCACCCACGCGCTCCAAGGGAGGGTTTACTTTATAATGTACAGCTGACCCTTGGACAACACGGGTTTGAACTGTGCAGGTTCACTTACATCTGGATTTTTTGTTTGATATGGTACAGCCCTGTAAAGTATATGTTTATGTTATTGGCAGGGCTTCTGGTCAACAGTAGGCTATTAGCGGTTAAATGTGGGGGATGTCAAAAGTTATACGTAGATTTTTGACTGCGTGGGGTCAGCGCCCATAATCTCCGTGTTGTTCAACGGTCAACTATACATCCTTTGCCTTTTCTTTTTCAAGAATGGGCATCACTCCATTTGCCAGTCTAAGACATTGCATTTTATAAGTATGGAGAAGGAAAGAGGGAAAAGTAATGGCCAATCCCTTTCTTACTTGTTACTGATCAGATTCTTAGCAGCTGTCTCTTCGTGGATTTCTTCCACAAAGAAATGATTTTTCTACCTGTTTTCTTGCTGGTTGCAGCTACTTCACGCATCATAAACAAAACCATGCTTCGTGTCAAAACCATCACTTTTCTTTAGCTATTTGTTCAAGGGCTATGTGAGCCCTAAACTGTAATCGAGCTTCCATGGAATAGTCTTTGTAGTTTTTTATGTTGTCTAGGTTTTTTGTGGCACTGTCATAATCTCCTTTTAGATAGTAGAGAATTCCTAGTTCGTAGTACGTATATGGCACCAAATAGTGGTCATATTTTAACAATTTCTCCTTCTGAAGGACACGATTAAAGTAACGCTCAGCCATTGAATATCTGCCCAAATGTTTCAGGCACAGACCTTTCAGCAAATTTAACAGACTTATGTCATCTGTGCCATACTCGGTATTTGGATTTTTTCGTAAGAGGTCTTCTCCTTTATCAATTATCGACAGCCAGCTTGAAATAAGGTCTAGTTTTTTGCTCATGACTCGGAAACCACTCCAGGCGTAAATGAACTCCAGAATGGGCTGTGCTGTAAACCAGCCTGTGGTGGTGCCGTAGCGCCGCCCCTTCTCGGCGATGAACTTTTCTATTGGCACAGAAGTTCCCAAAATTTTGATTCTCAGGCTACCCACTTTCAAGAAGAGAGAGCTTATGTCCTCACTCACTGATTTCACAGAATCTGAAGGGAGCAAGGAGAGTAGCATAGCTTTACTGTACACGTATATTGCCTTAGACCACCTGCTGTTGCGAGACAGTAGATCAGCGCAGTGGTGAGCCTGCTTCCAATTCCGCAGAAAGATGTGGCACCACATGAGTTCCCAGTAACAGAGGTGATGAACCTGCTTCCATTCATTTTGAATAAAAATGCACTCCTCTAATATTAACCGGGCATTTTCAAAATTTCCTTTCAGCATACTAAAACGTGCCTGAAAAAATTTAAGTATGACACAGTTTGGAAATTTCTGGAGGTAGATCAGGAAGAGATCCTCTACAGCAGAACTGTGACCCTTTTCAGCACCAATAGCTACATAGATGTACGTGTAATAAAAGACTAGAGTCAAAACACTTAAGATATTATTTATATGGGATTTGGATGCACTCTCGTGAAGCAGAGTCAAGCCTACCTCTCTATCACCAGAATATCCAACAATATTGAGTAGTTTAAGTGTCTTTGGTGGCACAAGTGATAATAGCAGATTGAATGCTCCAAGTCCAAATTTTACTCCTTCAACCAGGTGTCTGTAGGTTTTGCTGTGGTTGTTAGGCATCTGTGTTAATACCTGTTGGCAGTCTTTGTATATTTGGTAACTTAACCCGATGTTGATTGCACATTTAAGAAAACCAAGCATACTGTCATCCTGTATAAATGTGACAGTGGATTTCAGAATCAAACACTCCGCGTAGCAGACTTCAGCATGCAGTTCCTCCTCTTTGATAGTCTTTATTCCCTGTTTACTCACGAGATGAGAAAAATTCATCATCCTAGACTTTCTTCGGAAATTGTTACAGGTTTTCAAAGCTTCCTTTGCAGTAGCCATTCCAGTCTGTATATCCTGTGGATCAAAAGTCAAAACGGCCTTGACAACCATAAGGATATTATAGATTAGAGCATGGTATATGCTGGTTTTCGACCATGGATGAATGAGATTTATGGCATCTGAGAATCTGTTATTTAGAAATAAATACAATCCAGTTGTGCACTCTTCCAGGGAAGATTTTAGGTTCATGGTTGTGGCCACCGGGATCATTTCATAGGCATCTTCAAACTTTTCCTCGTCACCTTCTGTCTTACTCAGGACACATGATGTCAAGTCATTCCCTTCATCATTTTCTCTTTTACTTACAGTAACGGACATCTTTGCTTCCCTACTTTGAGACGGGAAATATTTGAAGGGGAGCGATGTGGCCGCAGTGAGGGTAGCTCCTGCTCTCCCGACTGGGCTCACTTCTTCCACGGCCCGAAGTGTCACTGCTACAACCGAGGCAGACAAACTAATAGTGTGGGTGTAGCATTAGGATATTCTCATCTATGCCAGACAAAGGGAGGGGGGGGGGTGTGAAGATAATTTATTTACCTAGAAGAAGTACTTCTGAAAAGTTCAAATCATTTGTAATATATAGAAAACACGTGAAGCAAATCATTTGCAAACAAAAAGAGTTCTTTTGTCGATAATACACATTTTCAGAAATGTTAATGGAGGAAGGCTCCTTCCCTTTAAAAGAAACATGTTTGACTATAGTTGACACACTCCCTGTTTTTTCCCCCTCAGTTTTATTGAGGGTAAAACTGACAAAACTGGAAGATAATGAAAGTATGTAACATGATGGTTTGGGGGAAATGAGAACATTTTTCTACTCTCAGCAAATTTCACTTATACAAAACAGTCTTACCAACTTAGTAACCATGTTATATATTAGATCCTCAGACCTTATTCATCTTATAACTGAAATTTTGTATTTTTTTTCACTAACCTCTCCCTATTTCACCTACCCTTCCCCCCCCCAACTCCTTGTTCTTGATGTTCTCATAAGGGGACTTTTCTGCTAGAGGAATACTCTGGGCTGACTTCTGGCTGGGAACAGATAAAAGAACCTGGACCAGTGTTGCTCTATGCCTTCTGGATTCCTCCTTCTGGAATTGGCCTGTTCAAAGTCTGAAACCAAAAACCAGGAAGCCTGTCTTTTCTGCTCTCCAGCTGCGCTTGGGACCAGGTGGGCAAATCTGTTTAATTAGGGGGTAAAGCATCAGCGAGCCCACTCGGCAGTCCATCACGTCTGAAATCACAGTAATGATCAACTTAATCAAAAAGGTCATGTTTTGGTGTCCTTCTGCCTGACTCCTGCATCTGGATCCCATTGGTTCTGAACTCAGGCAGGAAAAGGGATGTTATTTATTGATCCCTAACAGGCCATCTCTTCCTCCTCCAACTCTTTTTTTTTTTTAATTTTTTTTTAACGTTTATTTACTTTTGAGACAGAGAGAGACAGAGCATGAACAGGGGAGGGGCAGAGAGAGAGAGAGGAAGACACAGAATCTGAAACAGGCTCCAGGCTCTGAGCGGTCAGCACAGAGCCCAACGCGGGGCTCGAACTCACGGACCATGAGATCATGACCTGAGCCGAAGTCGGATGCTTAACCGACCGAGCCACCCAGGCGCCCCCCTCTTCCAAATCTTGTATTCCCTCTCTAGATAGTTGATACTATCATCCACATTAGATCTCTCGATCTCTCTCTTTTTTTTCCCCCCTCCAAAACCCTGTCAGATCTACTTACTGAATGCAGTACCTCTCGTCTTCCAAATCACCCTGGACATTCTTTAACAAGGCTTGTTACTAGCATGGTCAAATGCACAGACTGTGAAGTTAGACTGCTTAGGTTTGAATCCTGATTCTGCCATTTGCTTGGCCTCACTGTGCCTCTGTTTCCTCACGTGCAAATAGGGAATAATAGTACTTCTACCAAAGAGTGGTTGGCAGGATTAGGTAATTTAATATATTTAAAGTGGTCAGGACAGTACCTGGCATACATAGGAAATACTCAATACTCAATATTATTCTATACACTGCCCCCCAACCCCATAGTCTGGCACATAGCAGGTGCTTGCCAAATTATTTTTTATTTTGTTTTTCAAATTGTTTTAAATGAGGTGTGGGATGTAGACTGCTGTGTGTGGGAGTCCCACAGCTTTTGGTGATAGAGGTGGAGTCATCCTATCACTCTTTTGCCTAAAATGTTCTACCTGAAATGTCTTTACCTGTCTGCTTGTCTACTTTTTAAAAAATGTATCCTTTATTTTTTTAAGTTTTATTTATTTTGAGAGAGAGAGAGAGAGAGAGAGAGAGAGAGAGAGAGAGAACCCCAGAGCACACACATGCATGCAGGGGAGAGACAGAGAAGTAGGAAGAGAATCCCTGCACCTTCAGTGCAAAGCCCGATGTGGGGCTCGATGGTGGGCCCCACATGGGGCTCTAATCTCACCAAGTGTGAGATCATGACCTGAGCCAGAATTAAGACTGAGCCAGTGGCACCTCTGCTTGTCTACTTAAAAAAAATTTTTTTTAATGTTTATTTATTTTTGAGAGAGACAGAGCATGAGTGGGGGAAGGGCAGAGAGAGAGGGACACAGAATATGAAGCAGGCTCCAGGCTCCGAGCTGTCATCACAGAGCCCAATGCAGGGCTCGAACTCACAAACTGTGAGATTGTGACTTGAGCCAAAGTTGGATGCTTAGCCAACTAAGTCCCCCAGACACCCCATCTGCTTGTCTACTTTTAAAAGGATCAATCTAGTGGGGCGCCTGGCTGGCTCAGTTGGTAGATCATGCAACTCTTGATCTCAGGGTTGTAAACTTGAGCCCTACATTGGGTGTAGAGATAACTTAAAAATAAAATCTTAAAAAATAATAAAAAATGGATCAATCTAGTGAGAATGGATTAGGGAACAGTAATACTAAGCCAGGAAGATCAGTCAAGTAGGGGGCTTGAGTGGGAGAGGCTGAAGGTACAGAAAGGAACAATTCAATGAAAAGAAAGCAGAGGGGGATGCACAGATCCCAAGTGCAGGAAGGGTTAGCCTTGGATAAGATGAGAATAACCTCTTGCACTAAATACAAGAGACTTCCTTTCTGTCATTCATTCAATACAGACTGAATTGAGCTCCTTCTATAATACCAAGCACTGTTCTTAGTGCTGGGGATACAGCAGTGAACAAAACAAAGACCTGGCTCCCATGGAAAACAATAAACAAAGGAATAAATAACATGTCAGCAGTTGATTTTTGCTGTAAAGAAGAGTAAACCAGATTAAGACAGAATGAGGAATTTAGAGAGTGATGGGGTGTGAGGTACTTGGTATTTTATGTAGGGCAGTCAGGGAAGGCCTCCCCGATAACGTCACATTTGAGCAGAGATGTAGATGATGTGAAAGTCTCTTGATCTCTTCTTTCAGTCTAAGATAAGTGAACATTCTATGTGTTCCCATGATGTCTTGTGCTTACCTCTATCCTAGCACTTGCTATATATATATA